GTTTAACATGAATCATTTAGCGATAATTACTTTATAAAAATTGTATTTATGTCTATTTAGATACCATATGTGATTGATCATACAATTATTTTATTTTATAGCGTTTAATTATATCTATATTACTCTAATTAAATTTCGCTTTTGTTATAAATGTACAACTTTCCAAATCAAACATTAATGCTTGGATTTCAAAATCATTATTTTCTTTTTTTATTATTTCTTTGATAAAGAGTTACGCGATATTTTTATGGGTTTGGCGAGCTCAAATAAGTTTGAGAGAACCAATAATCTCAAACATATTCGATTTATATTAAAAATACTTACATTCAATATAAGTGTCATGCAGATTAAATTTTGTAATATAATTTATATTTATCAATGGGAGATATACTATTTGATCTTTGTTGAATATCATTTCATCCTTTTATTATAAAAATTATAATTTTTTATCTCTAAATATTCTAATCCCGCGTTTAACGCGGGCCAAAAATATAGTATAATGTAATGGGACAACAACCTTTTTTATTAAATTGTAAAAATTCAGTAAAAATAAAATATTGTTACAAAATGTGTTGATAAATTGATTTATTTATAATCTTTGGTTTCATGGCTAGAAAAAGCTAAAAACATAAAAACAAATTCAATCGGTCTTTTGTGGAAACCTTAGTTTCGAAGTATTTGGCATCAATAGGTAACGATAAAGAGCTTGAAAAGGAGGGTACGTAATACTAAAAACAATTGGGATAACTTTCACTATATATACAGAAACTAAAGTTGTTTCATTCGACAGTCCGAAAAGAGAACGTTTATTCATATTTGGACTATAAAATAAATTTAATTTTTGGATCCTTGTTTTCTCAAATTTGGACTAAAAAGTAAAATAAAATAGATGGACAATGTGCAAATGCACTCTTCGCATAGGGTAGGGTCGGGTCGGGTCTGGCCTTATTACCTTCTCCAAAAAAAAGAAAAGATAACCGAATTCGTAGAAACCTCCGACATGCTGCACATTCGTAACTACTTGCATAGAAAAAAAGGCGAATTTAAGTCGTTCTCCAAGAGAACTATACCACTCATCCACTTGAGAAAATTATTGAAACTGAATTTGATGGCACTTCAGATAGAGGTCAAGTTGATGAGCATATCATTCTCTATAGATGTTCTCTTGAGTAGTATCCAAACAATGATGCTTCATGCTCATAAAGCACTTTTTTCTCTCTCTCTCTATAGCAAGAGAGAATCTTCCAGCGTGAGAGATTCTTGATGTCGGGTGGTTTGAAACTTACCTAACGAATCAACGTTTGAATATGATAACACAAACGCAGA